ATACAATTATATATATATATATATATATATAATTTGAACTATCAATTTTACAATAAGATAATTTAAGAACTTATTTAATTCATGTGTTTAAATTAGGTCGTTTAAACTTAAATAAAACCCCAAATCATAGTTCAAATTCTTCTACCCAACAAGCCTTAAGATTAGGTCATGAGGTAAAAACTTAACTTTCAAAATAGAATCCCTAAATCCTTCATTCTAAGCTTAATCTTCATCACCCATTGTTGCATCGTTTGCGCCCATACTATTCGACTCCCGTCCCAATATGCCCATCCCGTGCGAGCAAGTCTCAATAATGGTGGCGACAGACCTCTACGAGCTGTATTGCATCGTGCCCTGAACTTCTCGAGTACCTGCACACTCATGGTGTCACCCACATCTTTAGTTTTTCAATGTCGTTGTGACTAGTGCATCCTTTGATTTATCATTTGCTAAAAGACATCAGTTGGTAAGTGGAATTATTGAAAAAAGGAATATGATAAAAAAGACATTAGTTGATTTAGTAAAAACTTGGGTGAAAAAATTATTATTTTTTAAAAAAAAATTGTATGATATAACTTGAAAAGGAGACTATTTTAAAAAATAAATTTCAGAAATTGTATTAATTAGCATAAATTAAAACTAAATTAAGTAAATAACAGTTTTAAAACTATTTATAGTAAATAACAGTTTACCGCATAAATATGTTATTTACGACTGTTAAAAAATAATTTACATGTTAAAAAAACTTTATTTACGTAGATAAAAATCTTTTTATCAGTCATAAAAAGAAAATTTACGTGAAAAAATCTTTTTACTAGTCATAAATGAATATTTACTTAGTAAATTGTTATTTATTTTAAATAGTTTTAAAATTTATTATTTATTTAATATAGTTTCATAAATCTACTATTTACTGCATTCTCTCCTAAAATTTTTGTTAAGTTGAGTAAGGTGGTTAATTTCATAAATTAGAGACACATAAGTATTTAAAATTAAGATGATTTGTGATGTAAAAAAACATTGGTGAAAGTTGAAATTAGATAAAAAAAAAAGTTCCTAAACTTTGATGAATAATCCTGAAAATCCTGTCAAAATGTTGTTTAATGTTGATTAAGTTAGAAAAATTCAATTCAAAAGCCCAAAAGAATAAAAAAAAAAGAAAGAAGAAGAAGAAAAGCAACCGATGAATAACAAATACATGGATAAAAACATCAATTAATGTATACTTTTGAGGGATAACAATGTAATTTAACTTATAGTATTTTTAATAAAATTTAACTTGGGTGCGTTTGAAATTGATTTCAAAATTCTGTTTTTTTGTATGAAACTGAAAATGAAAACATTTTCAATCTCAGGCAGAAATCATTTATGAAAATGCGTTTGATAGTTTTATTGAAAGATTATTTTCAGTATAAGAAAAAATTAAAATTCCGTTTGGTTATACATTTTTTAAAACATGTACCTCGTTCATTTTACTGATTCAAGTTTTCAGTTTTAGGTTTCTACAGTAAAAAACTCTCAGAAAATTTCACATCTAATTTTTCTGCTACAGTGAAAAGCTCTAAAAAAATATCACATCTCAGTTCGAATTGAAAACTCAAATCTGTGAAATGAACAAATCCGTATTATACCAAAGACTTTTCTCACACTATCAATCTACACAACTCTTTTAACTTCCATTTTGTGCATTTCCTTTCTTGAGGCGTTTCATCAAACAACTGGTGCTCATTATCCAAGCTCCGAAATTTCCATTACATGCTCATCAACGCATTGCAGGTGTACATATCCGAGTCCATTCCGTACTTAATTATTGACCCATGTACGGATTCTCCCAACCTCTAAGTCCTTGATCATGGCACAAGATTTTACCATCGATGGGAAGATATTATGATCTGGGTATATTTGAAAAGCACTCATTCAGACGAAAGAAGCCACGGATTGGAGGAAATAGCCATGGGAAGTGTAGGATCTGATGATGGATTTCCAAGCGAGAGGTGGGGGAGAGTGGAGGGTTTGGAAGAGAAGAAGAGAGTAGCGTAAGAGGTTGGTGAAGTTTGAGTACAGAGAAAGAATAGAGGAGATTTCGGAGGGAGATGGGTTTATTGTGGTTTTGAGAATCTGGGCATGGAGTTGTTTGGCTTGGAGATTTGATTTGATGGCGATTGGGTTCTTCAGAAGTTGTTAGTTTCAGAGCACCATGGTAAGCACCGAAGATCCCTCCTAGTCGCCGGCAAGCCTTCCTCAGCCAAGCCACCAATCCTTGCCATCTTCGCCATGTAAAGCCCATCCCTACCTGAGGCGGCGAACCCAGGCGCATCTGGAGGAAGCCGCCGTTGGTGGCGCCGGTGATGATTGAGTTCTAAGGATTCTCCTTTTGGCGGACGTAGACCATGGTACAATCGAAGGCGGACAAGAGGCCTCCCTAGACGGCAAAGCTCCCGCCGACGCGCTGAAGAACGAGGAACAACGAGGAAAGAAGGAAAGGAGAAGAGAAGAAAATGGAAAACGAAAAAATGAAAATGAGTATAGATCGTTTTCAGAAATGTATACAAAATATGAAAAGGAACAAAAACGTTTTCAGTTTCAATTTTTAAGAAAACATACGCCAAACGCTTTTTTAAAATTATTTTCAATTTTTACTCCTCAAAAAACATGAAAAATGTTTTTGAGATTGAAACCAAACACACACGTTTTTTATACTCTTTCGAGGATATTTTAGCATTTTTTAGAACTTTGACCCTTAGAAAGAGAATATTCCACTATTTTTTCCCCTTTTCTCGAACTAATAGAGGGGTTTCTTGTAACACATTCAACTATTTTTTCCCCCTTTTCTCTAACTAACAGAGGGGGTTTCTTGTAATTAGCTTCAAGTCAAAGGGCATCAATGAAATTAAATAATAGCGTGTCACTATAATTTTGACATAAATCAGGAGTATGAGTGCAATTAATTGTTGGTTAGTTTTAGTTTTATGCAAAATACAAATAAGCAACAGGTCAATCTAGCTCTTGTTTAATGTTGATTAAGTTAGAAAAATTCAATTCAAAAGCTCAAAAGAACAAAAAAAAAAAAAGAAGGAAGAAGAAGAAAAGCAATCGATGAATAACAAATACATGGATAAAAACATCAATTAATATATATTTTTGAGGGATAACAATATCATTTAACTTATAGTTTTTTTTTGAATAAAATTTAACTTATAGTTTTTGATACTCTTTCGAGGATATTTTAGCATTTTTTAAAACTTTGACCCCTAAAAAGAGAATATTCCACTATTTTTCCCCTTTTTTCGAACTAACAAAGGGGGTTTCTTGTAACACATTCCACTATTTTTTCCCATTTTCTCTAACTAATAGAAGGGGTTTCTTGTAATTAGCTTCAAGTCAAAGGGTATCAATGAAATTAAATAATAGCGTGTCGCTATAATTTTGACATAAATCAGGAGTATGAGTGCAATTAATTGTTGGTTAGTTTTGGTTTTATGCAAAATACAAACAAGCAATAGGTTAGTCCAGCTCCATTAGACCAAAAGACTAGAAGGCTCCGAAGTCCGACCACCTTACACAAACACAAAACTCTCTCTCTCTCTCTCCTCTATAAGTTTGACATAAATCAGGAATATGAGTGCAATTAATTGTTTGTTAGTTTTGGTTTTATGCAAAATACAAACAAGCAACAGGGCAGTCCAGCTCTGTTAGACCAAAAGACTAGAAGGCTCCGAAGTGTGACTCTCTCTCTCTCTTCTCTATAATTTTGACATAAATCAAGAGTATGAGTGCAATTTAGTGTTGGTTAGTTTTGGTTTTATGCAAAATACAAACAAGCAACATGTCACTCCAACACCGTTATACCAAAAGACTAGAAGGCTCCGAAGTCTGACCACCTTACACAAACACAAAACTCTCTCTCTCTCTATAATTTTGACATAAATCAGGAGTATGCGTGCAATTAATTGTTGGTTAGTTTTGGTTTTATGCAAAATACAAACAATCAACAGGTCAGTCCAGCTCCCTTAGACCAAAAGACTAGAAGGCTCCAAAGTCTGAATCTCTCTCTCTCTTCTCTATAATTTTGACATAAATAAGGAGTATGAGTGTAATTAATTGTTGGTTAGTTTTAGTTTTATGCAAAATACAAACAAACAACACGTCAATCCAGCTCCATTCGACCAAAAGACTAAGGACTTGTTCTTTTGAGTGAAAAACTCAAAAAAAGACAATTCGAGTTACAACTTTATTCGAGTTCATGTTCTTTTAAGTTTAAACTCGAGTTTAAACTCGAGTTCAAACTCGAGTTTAGGACTAAAACTCGAGTTCAACCTCGTTCACTTCACGGATTCGAGTTTTCAATTTGAGCTGAGATGTGACATTTTCTGAGAGCTTTTCACTGTAGCAAAAAAAGTTAGATGTGACATTTTCTGAGAGCTTTTTACTGTAGAAACCTAAAACTGAAAACTCGAATCGGTGAAATGAACGAGTCCCCTTCAACTCGAGTTTAGAAACTCGAACTCAAGTTAATGAACAATATTTTTTCTATTCTTAAAAATGCTATAACTTTTTCGTTTTAATTCTGATTGAGATGATTTTTTTTCTATGTGTTGACAACGAAGAGACGAATAAAACTAGACCCATATACCCTATTAAAATTTTTCATCAACATTGAGTTTTTATTAAAATACTATCTAAATACAAATTCAAATTTTGACTTACTCAAACATAAACTCAAAAAGATTCTTATCTCAAACCATAACTCAAATGTACACAATCAAACGCAAACTCAAGTTACAACTTTAACTTAAGTTATAACTCAAACTCAACTCAAAAACTCAGGGCCCGTTTAGTTCACTGATTCGAGTTTTTAATTTGAGTTGAGATATGACTTTATGTGAGAGCTTTTTACTGTAACAAAAAAATTAAATGTGACTATTTCTGAGAATTTTTTACTGTAGCAAAACTTAAATTCTAAACTCGAATCAATTGAGTGAAATAAACGGAGACTCAAGAATACTTGCAAAGAACAAGCCCCGAAAGGCTCTGAGTCCGACCACCTTACACAAACACAAAACTCTCTCTCTCTCTCTCTCTCTCTCTCTCTCTAGTTCCATTCGAAGTCCGTACACGATGCCTTCCCGTAGAAGAACGCTCTTGAAGGTCATCATCCTCGGCGACAGTGGGTCAGTACTTTCTCTCTCTTCTGTTCCGTGTTTTTGTATTTTCTGTTTATTGATGTTCAATTTCTAGGGTTATGTTTGAATGATTTGAACGATCTTTCGAGATCTTACTTTGGAACAGAATTATCTTGAACCCTAGTAATTCAAACTGTGCCACTGCGTTGAATTTCATTTCTTGATGCAATTTAGCATGATATCATCGAAGAATTGGATATGGTTATTTTTTTTAGTCATTTTAAGAATCTGTTTCTGCTTTCTTTTGCTAAAAGGCCGATAAAAGGTATACTTTAATATCTTGAATTCTTGATCCATAGTAATTGACATTCTCCGTACTTTCCCAGTTGCCTGAATTGTTAAATTCTGGGTTTTTTTCTTTTTTATTTTAATCTTTATTTATGATGGTGAAATTCGATTTTGGTTTGGATTTTTTTTTTATAATATTTTTAGCTGAATCGATTGTCTATTGAACCAAATAGAATATGTTTTTAAGGAAATTGTGTTAATTAACGTTCTCTTAACGTCGTTTGCAGGGTGGGAAAGACCTCTTTGATGAATCAGTATCCTTCTATGCGTGACAATTAAGAGAGCTATATGCAATTTTGTTTCTTTTTGTTGAGTATATGATCCATAATTATTTGGTTTGAGTCACTTAATTTTAATGGGGTTTATTCATAAAGTAGCATCTCCTACAAGGTTTGTTGCTGTTTCCCTTGACATACTTCTTATAGGTATGTAAATAAGAAGTTTAGCAATCAGTACAAGGCGACAATCGGAGCTGATTTTTTGACAAAAGAAGTGCAGTTTGAAGATAGGCTCTTCACTCTCCAGGTTAGTGAGGAATCATATATTATCAACTCAATTTACTTGTTAAAAAAATCCTCATAGTTGTTGTAACAAAAGATTGGAGCCCTCAGATCTATTTGTTGGTTATACGGTCCATTCATTGGAATCATCTAGTTGGAGCACACTTTCTTCCGCCTGAGCTAGGAGTAAAGTCAAATTATGTGCTGATAAATCTTTAGTTGTTGAAAGTTTCCATGTGGAGTAATGGAAAATCGGTCAGGGTTGACTTAATTTTTCCTTCTTATTCATTTACTCCCCTTTTTTATGGCAGCCCGAAGCTTCCACAAAACTTGATTCGTTTCGCTTCTTGACAATTTGTAGCTGATATTATTACAAAATTCTCTCTTTTCTTGAAATTCTTCGTGCATCTCTAGTAACTTGTATCTCGCTCATAGCAGTAAGTAGGACTGGGATTATGTTATATGGCAGCTGATAGTAGTCATGAAAGAGCTAAAGGATATGCTTTACTATCTCTCATACTCGGCGGCTCATTGGCCTGTTGATCTGTTCCTTAACTAAAATATAGTATTATCCTATGTAGGGAATAATGGAAGTGAATGTTAATAACTTTCCATTGATATGGAACTTTTGTGCTTCTTTTAATCATGTTTTACTGATTGAAAGTGAAAAAAAATGTAAACAAACATAAAGAGAAAAGGAAAATGATTTTGATTGTATGGCCGCTTGTAGAGCATTTCATCTACCCGGTGATTTTGATATTTCTGCTTAAATACTTGAGCAAAATTGATTTTGATATTTCTGTTGAAATACTTGAGCAAAATTGATTTACTTGGCACTTTTTGATAATGCTTCTTTGAATGCATATCATGTCCATAATTTAGAAACATTTTGGGTTGCTTTTGTGTTATCATGTTTCAAGGCACTAGATTTAGGGGCGTTCGCAGTTGGTTTGGACGGTTTTTTGTTTTGTTTTTTTTTAATATATTTAGAAACCACTAACCAAACCAAAAATAATTTTTTCTTTTGGGCGGTTTGGGCCGTTTGATTTTTTTGACAAAAACCAAATCACTCATAAGCGGTTTGAGCGGTAGACTAAAAAATTCACAAAAATCATAAAGTTGTTAATCCATAAAAATAAAAAAAATTAAGGCCCCGTTCATTTCGCTGATTCGAGTTTAGAATTTGAGTTTTGCTACAGTAAAAAGCTCTCACAAACAATCACATCTAACTTTTTTGCTACAGTAAAAAGCTCTCACATAAAATCACATCTCAACTCGAATTAAAAACTCGAATCAGCGAACTAAACGGGCCCAAGTTTACAATATGACTCAAAAAATAGCAAATGTCTAGAAGTTCACCATTTAAAGTTTTAATACAAACCGACAAAAATTTGATGAGGTGTATTTTATTAGTGCATAACTTTTATTATGACGAATAAGAACTAAAATAAATAAAAAAATATTTTAAAAATAAAAAATTATATATGTATATTTTTATGTGGATTATTGGGCGGTTAAGGAAGTTTAAAGTTCAAACCACAAACCAACAACAACAACAAGCCTTAATCCCAACTTAATTGGGGTTAGCTATATGGATTTCATTTTTCCACGTAGCTCTGTCCGAAATTAAATTTTCTTGAAGGCCTAGATCTAGAATGTCTTTCCTAACTACTTTGGTCAACGTAATTCTTGGTCTACCCCTCCCTCTCCTAGTATTAGGTATAAGAATGTCCTCCCAAGCACGAACTATATCAAACCACACACCAAACTGCAAAAAAAAAAAAAAAAAAAAAAAAAAAAAAAAAAGATTAAAAAAACTGACCAAACCGCCCAATAATCGAAACATAATTGATATATTTGGTTCGGTTTGATTTGGATTGAGCAGTTTGGCGGACTTTTTGAACACCCCTAAGTCTAGATTTTTGTATCTTTCAACCATGATAAAATTCAGTCCATATCAATTTGTTTTGGCAGATTTGGGACACAGCTGGTCAGGAAAGATTCCAAAGCCTTGGAGTTGCTTTCTATCGTGGTGCAGATTGCTGTGTTCTTGTCTATGATGTTAATTCTATGAAATCCTTTGACAACCTGAACAATTGGAGGGAAGAATTCCTTATTCAGGTATACCTTTGTTCTTTTATGGATCCTTGCAGAAAATTATTCCTTGTGTATTCTCCTATGATTTATCAATTTGAAATTTTGCGAACTGATGATGTTCCGAACCTGCAGGCAAGCCCTTCGGATCCTGAAAATTTCCCGTTTGTTGTCATAGGAAACAAGATCGATGTAGATGGTGGAAATAGCAGAGTGGTACGTACTTGCTTGAATTTTGTACTCCCCAATCCCTCCCAGCCCGTGCAAGTACATGCATATTTTCTTCCCATCTCTTCTTCCTCACCCAGATTCGTGTGTGCATACGTATCCATGCTCTTATGTTTAGAGGTGGACATTGTATATTATCGTGCGTGTTTGGTGTCCGTGTAACCTTATGTTGATTCTCCAGGTTTCAGAGAAAAAAGCTCGAGCTTGGTGTGCATCGAAAGGGAATATCCCATACTTCGAGACCTCTGCTAAGGAAGGCATTAATGTAGAAGAAGCTTTCCAATGCATAGCAAAGAATGCTTTGAAGAGTGGCGAGGAGGAGGAGATGTAAGTGAACAGTACCCTTCATTTGATAAATCTAAATTTTGCAAATAAATTTTCTAGTGCTTAGTTGCTTGTCAATCAGTTTTCTTAGAATTTGAGCATTCAGAACTTGACCTTAGGATGCTATGTCATGCAAATGTGATCCTTGCAGCTATTTTTTCTTACTTTTTTGTTTTAAGCTGCTGGAATTGAATTTTTGTATGCCCTCTTTGTCACTCCTTGGCTGAACATGGATACGCAAGTTTGTTGTTGGTTTTTTTTTTTTTTTTTTTTTTTTTTTTTTTTTTTTTTTTTTTTTTTTTTTTTTTTTTTTTTCCGCGGGTTTTTTTTCATTATTTTTTTTTTTTTTTTTTTTTGTTTTGTTTTGTTTTGTTTTGTTTTGTTTTGTTTTGTTTTTCCTCGGAGCTCTTTACATAATGTATGTTACTACTTTTGTCGGACTAGAAATTTTTGTGCCTGCTTGCTGTAGTTTAGTTAAAAGAAAGGAGAAAAAAAAAAGTTGTATGAGATTTCATAGGATTTGTTATAAAATGAGAATTCGTGGTTGTTTCTTAAAGCCGTTGATTTTATAAGTTGCTTTATTGCTTTAAGTCCAAAGTTCATCTGTTGACTTCTTTCCCTTTTGCCTCTGATTGGAATTTTCTGCCTTGCAAAGATACTTGCCGGATGTCATTGATGTTGCAAACTCTGGTCAGACAAGGTCAACTGGATGCGAGTGCTAAGAATGGTACCTGATTATTTTCCCCAGTAAAAACAATAAACGTGTTTAGACTGCAAACTATTTTGGCCATTTTTCTTGGTACTGTATGCGACTATACTGTACATTAGTGTTTGCGGGAAAACAAATCAGTCCCAAAAGTGTTTGTTGAGTTTTGGTTGTATTGTGCTTTCTGTTCTTTGTAATTATTTGGTACCGCTCTTTGCCCTTTATTATGGAAATCACCAGCAGGAAAGATTTTTTCTTTGGTCGAATTTGATTTCATGTTTCCTTCGGAGCTCACGCTTTAGCAATCAAAATATTGCTCTTGTGATCAAAAGCTGTCTGGGGATATAAAAATTTATAATAACAAAAGTTATGATGCTTTGGCACTGATAATAATAGAATATAATTTGCAAACTCAGTTTCGGAAGACTAGTATGAAATTTTCTAAAATACAAGGCGTTTATAACTTCTTTTGATGGATTAATGCGAACTTTAGACCGAGCAGTGCCTACTGCTACAATTGAAATGGTAGCGAGATTTGACTAAGCCATGTGAGCTCCGGTGCCAAATCTCCTGGGGCATTTTAGAAAAAGACCTGTTTAGAAGGTATATTCAAATCATGATTTGAGTAGAATCCTATGAGAAAAAATTTTAAAATTTAAACTTTTTGTATAATAAAAAATACTGTAGCAGAATTATAATTTAGATTTGAGTATAGTTTCTAAACAACCCTAAAATTCGAGCAAAAAAGTATTCTCAAATCTTCCTGCGAATGTTGAAATTAAGCACTTTAGTAAGAAAATTATTCTTAAATGCATTATGTTTAAAGCCAAAGTCGGCATACAAAGGCGGTTCACATTCAACCAAAAAGGACTACAATTTCATTGAGACAAACCGAAGACCTGAATCCATACAATGTACAACTCCAGCCAGCAAATTGTTACCAAGTAATCCAATTGCAGCCAACAAGGCACCAGAAAGAAAAATATTCAGTATTGAATCACCAATCTCAATATTCATAAATCCAATATTAAATTACAATGAGCAGCTTTGTTAGCAGAATCGTCCAAAGGGTATAGACTTCCCTTTTTGGTTCCACAAAATGGATGAGTGAGATAGAGTCGCTTACATCATCACCTAAAACATTTTTTTGGTTCCCCTTTTGTACCTCTTAGCTGTTAAATGACGGATCGCAGAGATGATATCTACCAGTGCAATTAAACTAGGTCAATTGAGTAGCTAAATAACTCGGCCTGACAAAATCCACATCAGTAAAAGCGCAGAACTTCTAATTCTCCTCATATCATTTCCTTTGTTCTGTGAGCTTACGGGTGCGAAATTGTATGAACATGGTATTTCCTCAATGATTCAAATAGAACGAGGATATCAAGGTAGCAAACTTTGCAGAAAAATCTTCTAGCTATTAGACTCAACCAACCTTGCATTTGTGAACCTGCCAAAGTGGCTAAATCAGAGGTAAACCAGACAATTGGGCATCTCCTACGTGCATCGAGATCTTAAGAAACAAATTTATATAAGACAAAGAACAAGAATTCAGATCAATTCATTTGAAATACATGGTTTTCTTCTGCCCCACTCCGGTTTCCAAATGAAAGAACAAAAAAGAAAACAAAAAAAAAAAAAAAGGAAGAAGAAACCATCAAATGGGGCTGAAGAAAATAGAGGCTGATGTTTCGATATCATATGTAATTTTCCCATATTTCTTTTCTCGCTAGATGAGCTTTCCACAGCATACAGTTATAAGCAATACCACTAAAGTGATGAGAAAATTGACTAGTTCTTTCTTCTTTCTTCCTTCTATACAAAACAATCTCGTTCATAAAGTTTTCAAAAAGCATAAAGTCATCAACAAATTTTATATTAATCACGACGTGGCCACTTTTACCATGGATTATATTAGAAGGCCAGCCTTCTAAATTTATTAAAATCACCAAAAAACAAAAAGGCAAAGAAAATCAGGAACTCACTGGGTGTAAAAAGTAGATGGAGGTGGTGCACATGAATGGATAAACTTGGAAACATGTTCTCCAAGTTTTACTTTGTTCCAACAGAAGAAAGTTTGTCCTGGCAGGGAGGTTGAATTGAGCTTCCTGCCAATGTTGGTAAAGGTATTGAAGGACTAGGAGCCACAGACCCCATGGGTCTTGACATTGGTGGCCTCTGGGAAACCATGCTTAGAGGAGGCCTTGTAACTGAGCCAGCAATGTTCACGCCAATTCTATTGCCAGGCAGCGATGAAGGCATCACCCTAGATGAGGAAGCGGGTAAGCCGAGTCTGGCTGCAATTATCTGTGCCCGTTCATGGTAAAGCCGCTGCCTTGATCTGTCCATTTGCTCCCTCACCCTCATAACAACATTTTCCATCTCATTGAAAAAGGCTAACTTGGTTTCCATTTTCTGCAACTGTAAAAGAACAGGATCTCTGGATAATAAATCTCTGTTCTTACCAATGGACGAGAATTACGGAGCGCCATTTGTCTAGCTCTAGAGTTTAGAGAATACCTGCTTCTCTATCAACAATGCTGACAGTCGTCGGATTTGGTCTTCTTCCTGATTTGCAAGGAGTTTTGCCTTCACTGCTGCTGCTGAAATAGCAGAGGCTGCAGCACGCTTTATTTTATCAATCTTATGTTCTTTCGTCTCCAAAGCATCGTGCTTCTCTTTGTCACCATCTTTAGTAGGCTCTTCAACTGAAAAGATGAAGCAAAATCATAAGTTAACCAGGGTATATGTTTTCAACTGGATCTTTGCTTTAAGGCTACTACAAATGCGAATGCGTGCGCATATGCACTCTGCCCCCCTAAACAAAAGACCAAGACATAAAATATGAAGCATACATTCATTTTCTAGCATTGCCAGAATGGTTGATATCCGTTATTTTAATTGGGAGAGAGAGATGAGAGAGAATAATACTTGCTGTATTTTCAACGATGGCTTTTGCCAAAACAGGTTGTGGAGGTTCAATCTTTTCTGATTCCTGAGAATGAGGCACCATATCTACATCTCTTGCGGCATTAGAAGGGGGTTTTCCATCTGAGTTGACAATTTTACCATGCTTGTCGTTCTTCTCCAGAGGCAGAGAATCAGACACCGCGTCAACATTTTTTAAATCTTCTGCAGAGTGGGTAGAGTCACTCCTGAAATTCAATGAAACGTTTTGCTGGGGCTCATTCTTTTCTGAGGGAGGAGGTTCAGACATTTCTACATCGTTCAAAGTCTCTGTGGATTCAGGAAGCTGTCCTGATTTTCCTTCTGACTCCTTCACCAAACTTGGCGGAAGCTCTCCCTCAGCTTTTAATTCTCCTGATCCACCCAGTGTAGATGGTGGTTGATCCTTTATTATCTTAGAAGTGCTTCGTTTCTTTAAATTAACGGAATCACCTTCCTCACTCGCAACTACGGCCTCCTGTTCTTTTGCAGCATGTGGTTTCTCCTGGGATTCACCTTCTGGAGCACTCAAACATGTCTTTTCTTCAAGACTAGAATCCTCTTTCTTGTCACATGGGATTTCATCTGTTTGAGTCTCCCCATTAGCCACTTTATCAACACTGCAAAAGATTTCAAGGTATGTAAGATAAACAAAAGATCAGCTAGAGCATGATGCATTCAAGTATAAAATACCTAAGCAATCCAGCCGGTTCCTTATTATCATTTGGTGGATCTTCCAAAAGAAAGCAGTGCCTCACAGCTAGCTCAATGCTTGGAGAGTTTCCGGATAGGGATTTCAAAGAATTATGAGCTGAAGCAGTTGCAAGGTCAGGTCCCACCAAGCGTGCTAGGAAAGCTGCCTGAAGTGAAAAATATTTATGAATATTGAATGCCAACATTATATAGGCTTGAAGACATCAAATTGTGGATTGTATAGCATAACTACAGTGGCGATATGCCATATCCACATTATTCATACTGAAATAGCATTATCTTAAAAGCAATAATATACAAAACTCGAGACCAGTTCAGATGCTATTTTCAAAGATGAAGATGAAAATAAGAGAGTAATGTTTCAAGTTTTCAGGGGAGGGGGGTGGGACACTCTGGAAGTTCTTAAAGTTGTTGCGTAAAATGAAATATAGAAACTCATGCATAAGAAAGTGATGATGTAATATTAGACGTTAATTGGAAAAACCTAACCTAAGTTTGCCTGCAAAGATATTGATAAATTAAAAAGGCACACATAAACATTCAACTTACCAAAGCCATGGCGGGGTTTCCTACTTCTGCAAATGAAAATGATCCCTCACACGTTAGAGGATAACCAACGGCTTCAAATGCTTCCTTAAGGGCCTTTATTGTGCAGTCTTCTTCTGTCTCCTCACCTACTTTGGATTCGCTGCCTTCCTTTCGTTTTGAATTTTCCTGGCTGGCTTTCACTTCATTAGCCTCAACTGGTTTTGAAGTGTCCTGACTAGCTTTTACATCCTTTATATCTTCTTTTGAAGTTTCCATTGGGGAAGTCGGGGACTGATTTTCACTAGCAGCAGTCTCACCTTTAGTTGCTTCACCAGCATCTTTGGGGACTGATTGATCCTTCTCTGTTGAAGCTGGGTCTGCATTTTCTTTGGAAGTGGAGTCCATATTATCGTCATAATCGAGAAAGGTATCCTCAATGGGCATTTGGACAAAGTGCAATATGCATTGAGCTTTGGTTTTCGTAGCAACATGTTCTGCAATTTCACTCCAGTTTTCTTTATAAAGCTCTAATGCTTCAAGGAGAAGTAGGGTCTCCTGATCTGTCCACTTCCCACCACTCAGCCCAGCACCCTCACCAGGCTCCATGAGAATAAAGTCCGTAGATGACATGCCAGAGTCGAACTTCCCATTATTAAAGCAATCGGTACATAAATCAAAATCTGCCTGCACATATGCAAATAATCAGCAAACAGAAATTAGAAAACACTTAATTCGAAAATGGAAATAAGAAGCAATGATACTTCAATTATCAGAAGGGCAGGGTTTCATTGCACATCTTTGTAGCTCGTAATTGACAAATTCAGAACAGTGAAATGCGAACAAGATGAAGACATAAGGATAGTTGCAAAGACATTCTTTCTAATTCTAACATGGTTTATTGGCCATAACTCTCCTAAATCATGCATTTCTCTTTCTTTTTTATTATTATTATTTTTTTGATACAACACGGGATTGAATTCGCAACCTCCCACCCAAATCCAACTCCATCCAAACCTCCAAGTGCCAATAGACCAAGAGATCTTAGACCCTAAATCATGGATTTCTAGTCAAAATAGTTGGTGAGCCAACTGGTGCTAGTCCCGTTGGTAAGGGTGGGGTGGGTTTAAGGGAGAGATTCCGGGCTTGAATCCTGGGAGCAGCTAGCAATGTATTAAAAAAAAAAAAAAAACAAAGGTCAAAATAGTTGGTGAAAGATTTGTTGGGGTTGGGGCAAGTTAATTTGTAATTTTTTTTGGGGTATTAGCTAAATTCTGAACTTACAAAATAAAAAGAGAAGCAAAGCATGAGAAAATAAAGTGACTTATTCCCTTATAATTGGTCTTCGGGGTGGGGGAAGTGGAGATTGGAACAAACAGCAGGCTGAGAAAATTAAATCCCATAATAAAGATAGTGGAAAACACAACTAACCTGCTTCTGACAATGGTACCGCTTGCGAGAGCAATCAGCTGAACAAGAGTTGCAATGGTACTCAACCCTCACCAGCTCTTCAGCAATTGCAGATTCTGGAAATAACCCAGATGGAACAGCTGGAGCAGCTACATTATTCTTGGGAATGACAGGCATAGACGATTGTGGTATTTCGAAGTGATACAACTTATCAGCCAAAGAACCCTTTTTTGCCGTGCCATCACCATCACCATCAGCACCGCCCACCGCAGAACTTGTTGGTGGAAATGGGTGGAAATTAATCAAACCCCAATGGTCCAAAAACTCCAGTACCTCTTGTCTAGCATCCAAGTCTCCAACCTCAAGTTCTGACAAGTCTTTCAACTCAATCTGTGTGCTTGGATTTGAATGGAATTTCTTCATAATCCAATTACGAATCTCCAAGTATGTGTCGGCAGTACGCAACTCAGACTTCCCATTAAAGAAAGATGGCAATGTGCGCTCCTCAATGGGGTGAATTTTTGTCCATGAAAACCATCCTGGAAGAAGTCAAGGATAATCACTTGCATTGCCAAAAAAAAAAAAAAAAGAAGTTGCTCTGCATAACCAAAACATGAATGCACGTGAAAACAAAAACCTTACCCTATTGATTCCCTAGCCTCTATTCATTTTTTGACAAAACCCAACCTCTATATCGAGCTCAAATAAAAAGAGGATAGGAGACAAAACAAATAAAAATAGATAACTATAGTTGAGAAACAAGTGTTGGGTGCTTGGAGGCCTAATTATACTAATATCGGGGGCCATCGATTTTAGGATTATCAAGAGAGGTTAGAGAAAAGCACAAGGATAATGAGAGACATGAAGTGTGTAATGCTCTTCTAATCTTTCTCTATCATAGTGAAATTCTGCTGCGGTTATGGGTAGATGTCATAAATGATGAATTCATTTCTTACCTACGTCACTCTATTTTTGTTAGGACTGCCGTCTCTTTGGAGTTTTTTGTTTTGTTTTTGTTTTTGTTTTTGTTTTTTTTTTTTTTTGTGCTCTTGATAATAAAGGATTAGCACATCTCATTCTTAACAGAACATCAGATAGCTAATATAGCAAAACGAAAAGAGAAAAGGAACTTGAGAAACACTAATCTAATCCTGCTTCCATTATCTCAAAACAACATAATTACCTTTCCAAACCTAAAATACAAGATACCAGCCTATAACTTAACCTCATAAAATCCTAAAACAGCTCAATTCAGCTAAGTCTTTGATCTAATTCAACAAAAATTGAACAAAATTTCAAATCTTTACTTCATTTTCATCCAAATGCGCAACACAAAACAAAAGAAGAGCTGAAACTCACCGCAATGACTAGGAACCACATGAGCGCTGTTACTTCGAGATCTAATGGCCTGGAACTTGGCCTCAAGCCCCGACTCCAAGGCTTCCAATTCGCTCTCCTTTCTCAATTCCTCCGCTACAGAAGCAGCCGCCACGGTCTCTCCGCCCAAGACGCCGGGAACCCTGGCTTGCTCCGCAGCTGGCTTGGCGCCGCCGGATGCCGACGCGGCGGGGGCGCCATCGGCGGAAGCTAAGCTCGAGGAGAGGCTGGATGGAGCCTGGCGAGCCCTGGTCAACGGGCCGTTGTGGATCGGAGGGTGAGAGAGAGAGGACTTCTCGCGAGTGGCGCGCTTTGAAGGCGCCGACGAAGAGCCAGAGGAGCCGAGGTTTCCGGATTTCCGCTTCTGGCCGCCGGCACGTCGCCGCGACGAAGTTGGCTCGGTCGCCGGAGAATCTCCGCTCGCCGACGTTGAGGTTCCGGCGTCGCGGCGTTTCTCCTCCATCGAGGGGTTTCTGCGTGTTGGGGTTTCGGTTCGGTGTGTAGCGTTTGATTCTGTATGTGTGACTTCGAAGTGTAAAGCGAGCAATTTTCCCAATTTTTAGAAAATCAGGTAAATGACTGTATTTTTACTTTTTCTTAATATAAACGGTCGAATTTTTTATTTTTTAGATAAATAGTAGAATTTTTTTTATTTTTTAATAAAATAACTGCCTTTTCTAGTTGTCAATAATAATAATAAATCAGTGATATTGATCCATTTATTATTATAATTTATTAATAATAATTATTAATAAATATGTAATTTATTTATTAAAATTAATTAATTATAAATTGATTTTAATTAATTATTAATTAATATTGATTGATAATAAAAAATCATCTAGTTAATCAATGATAAATTTAAGTCAATTTGTAATTGACCGCTAAGTCAATCAGTGATACTGTTTAGTCAATTACTGATTGACTATTAAGCTCCCATTTGTTTCACAGGCTTAGTTTAATTCAACTCAGTTCGAATAGTGAATACAATTTAAATTCGTATTTGGTAAGAAGACAATTTGAATTATATTCACCGTTTAAACTGAGTTAAACTGTCTAACTTAGAGTTCAACTCCCCCTTAAGTTTAATCGTTCAAACCTTTTTTGAACAGTAAAAAGGTGTCCACTCTCTGCTTTTCACACTTACCAAACACAAATTTGACTTTTATTCTCTCCAATTCAAATTACAATTTCAAGCACACAGCTTGAATTTTTCTATTCAAACAAAAATGTATAAATTAACAAAATTTGAACTAACGAACTAAACAGGGGTTAATCAGTGAAACATTATACCTTTTCAATAAAAAAAATTTCAATTTCAAACTTCAAAATAAAAAATCAGGATTTCAATATAGTTTTTAAACGAGTCTTTAAAATTTGTTAAAAAGTTTTAGAAGTTCATCGGAAGTTCATCACGTTGCTTTTTCACGATATTTCCAACTCTAGCAAGATTAATGGGCGTCGAAGGTCACTAAATAAAGAGGGAGGGAGTCGCTAATTTGTATTCTAAATGAATAGAATATTTGCGGTTTGTTGTCGAAGTGCCAAACCAATTTGTCTGATCTCGAGTCGAAGCTCAAAGGAATGCATTAATAAACTCCTTATCCAAGTATCCAGTGAAGAAATACATGCTTAATAAACTCACTATTCCACCTCTTACTAGTGGTTCGTGCTGGAAGTTCAGGTCGGCGGGATGCCCGAAGTCTGAATTTTTTCGGGCTCGGGCGGGCAAGCCCATTGTCCGCCCGCCCAGAGTTGATTTTCGGGTTCAGGCTCGGGCAGCCCGAATTTTGCATCTTCTCCTTTGCCCGCCGCCGTCTAATCGCCGTTTACCGCCGTCCGCTGGAAATTTTTTGAATTTTTCCGACCATGGCCGAACTGCCCGACCCGAAAAATGCCCGAAAATGCCGTGTGCCCGAAGTGCCCGGTACCCGACTGCCCAAAAACTGCCCGAAATGCACGTAACGGCTACTTTTTTGAATTTTGCCCGAATTCTACCCGAAAACCCGAGGTGCCCCGACTGCCCGAATTACCCGAAAACGGCTAGTTTTTTGAATTTTTGCCCGAAAACCCGATCTACCTGAACTGCCCGAGTTGCCCGACTGCCTGAAAATTAAAAATAGCCGTTATATCCTGATTTTTTTTGAAACAAAATCATTTTTTAACCCCAAAATTTTCCTATAAATACTCCCCATCCCCCACACATTTTTCTCATTCAAACTCTCTCAATCCCTCTTAATTTCTCTCAATCTCTCTCAATTTCTCTCAATCTCTCTCAATTTCTCTCAATCTCTCTCACAATTTTTCTAAAAACTATCACATTATCCTAAAGCTCTCTCTCTCTCAAATCCATCTTATTTTTTTATAATGGATCCTTTTGGTTATAGTGGTATTCCCGTTGATGCCCAACATAATGTAGAAGAAGGGTAATTTCCCACTAATGAGTTTGTTACGCAAGAATCTACTAATCCGAGCCCTGGTGGACATACTGGAGGTCGTGGTCGCAATAGTGGTGGTGGGCGTGGAGAAGCGGCGAGTGCGACTGCGTCTGCGTCGGTAAGTGTTGCAACCTCCAGGAGGAAATGCAAGCGTACCTCGACAGTTTAGGATCACTTCGACATAATTGACGAGGTGGATAATGAAGGTAACACTAAACATATAGCTCAGTGTAAATATTGTTTATCTAAATTACAAGGTGACACTATTCACGGCACCACACACTTGAGACGACACTCCGAAAAGTGTCTTCAAAAGCTTAGCCAATCTAGCGGACCCCAAATCCGCCAAACAAAATTATCTTTTGATCGCGCAACCGGTGGTCTAACCACTTAGAAATACAATCCGCAAGTAGATCGTATGGAAGTTGCGCGAATGATAGCTACTTTAGATCAACCCCTTAGTTTGTAGAGCATCCTAATTGGCAACGATATATTAAGGTTGTACACAATCCTAATGCACAGTTTACTTCAAAAACTACTCTTAGGAAAGATTTATTAAAATTATTTAAAAAATAAAAAGATGCATTAATAAACCTTTTACACTCGACTAGCGGGTGCGTTGCGTTAATGGCATATATTTAATCTGCCGTTGCCAATAAAGATTATTTAGTTGTAACTAGACATTACTTTAAAGGATTTGATTTAGATAAGAGAATATTAAGTTTTAAATGTGTTCTAGGATCACATAGCGCGGATTTAATATATAACACAATTTTAAATGTAATTGATGAATTTAAATTAAGAGATAAAGTAATGGCTATAACATTAGATAATACTAGTGCCAATACAAAAGCAATTGAATTCTTTGAAAATGATTTAAGTCTATTCAGTGACGGTACTATTTTCCACCAACGTTGTGCATGTCATGTAATCAATTTAATAGTTAAATCCGGTTTAAAAGAAATGGGTAATCACATTAAAAGAATTAGAGATAGTCTTGCATGGATTCAAGGTAGTAACCAAAGACAAGAAGATTGGTTTAGGTTCTTACAAGCATTAAATATACCTCCTAGAGCATTAGTGTTAGATATGCCTATAAGATGAAACTCAACTTATATTATGCTTCAATAATGCATCCCTTATAAGGATGCTATAACAAACTATATGTGTGCAAAATTAGGAGTAGGACATATAGATGAATTTGATTGGCAAATTGTCGAAGTTTTGTATCAATTTTTAGGTAGGTTTCATGAAGTTACTCTAAAACTTAGTGGAACATACTACTCAACATTACCTTTAGCTTTAGGAGAATTTTTAAGAATTAATATTTTATTCCACGAATATAGGGAGGACCCAATCTTAGGAGTTCTTGTTCATCTATGGAAAGTAAATTTAAAAAATATTGGTCTAAGTTGCCTTTGTTATATGGTTTAGGTACAATTTTTTATCATAGATTAAAATTAGGCGGATTAGAAAACTTAGGTGAATTTTTAGGCATCACTTGTATGGACCAATTTTCAATAATAAATGTGAAAATATATGAGATCTATAGTAAATATGATATTAGGTTTAGAAGCACAAACTCTAGAGTACAGGAACCGCAACAACAAGATGAAAATCCGCATTCATTCTTGAATGTTTTTGGGTTAAAGAAGAAGAAGAAGACAACTCAAACGGAAGCTGTGACTGGAAGGGGATCTTCATCAACAAGTGGCAGTGGCGGCAGCAGCTTCAATGAGCTTATGGCGGACCTCAGTGAAGGCTTAGTAGTCGGCAGTGCGGCAGAATCATTTGACTTAGTTCAATGGTGGAGGGCACGTGCATTAACTTGGCCAATCCTAACTCGATTGGCAATGGATATATTTTCGATCCCAGTCTCCACTGTTTCATCCTAACAAACCTTCAGTACGACAGGAAGAATACTTGAGGAACGCCGGAATGCATTGCAAAGGGATATTGTTGAAGCTTTGGTTTGCATAAGGATTGGGATCGGGCCGATCAACGTCTACAAGATACAATTTCACCGGCAAGCCAAGAATGGATCGATGAATTTAATCGATTAACATTTAATTTTGAAGATGATCCCTCAACTTCAAATTAACTTGTAAATTTGTAATTTGTAAATATGTATTTACTTTTTACATTGTATTTGTAATTTAATAAACAATGTAAGTTTGTACAATTTGAAATTCGTCACAAAATGATTGCACTCTTTTTTCCTTGCCAAGTTTTTATCCCAATTGGGTTTTTCTTGGTAAGGTTTTTAACGAGGCAATCATGAATTACAAATTTAAAAATTAATAAAGAAATAATTTTTTTATATAGTTCGTGTGTTCATTTCAAATTGTAATATATATATATATATAAATTTTAACACAAAATAACTTAATATTAAAAAAAAGTTTAAATAATTCGGGCAATTCGGGCGGGCTCGGGCAGCCTAATACAAGCCCGCGGCCCGTTCAAGGTGAAATTCAGGCTCGGGCGGGCGGCCCGAATTTCTCGGGTGGGTCGGGCTCGGGCTCAGGCAAAAACTCGGGCTTTTCGGGCGGTCGCGGGTGGCCCGTCCAAAGTTCCAGCACTACTAGTGGTGGTGCGAGCTTGAGAATTCGGTAATGGTCGAAAAGAGGAGGACGGGATGGAGAAAAAATGTTGCGCCAAATGTATAAACAATCCCTAGGAATCCTGGCATCATGAAATAAAGAATTGACAAAGTATTTACCTCTAAAAACACGACAAAGGAGACAAGCTATATGGTGGATCAATCTCCAACGCTATTTAGTGATTGATTAAAGCAAATTATGAGAACATAAAAACCGAGACCTAATGGACGCGTTTGGAACTCATTCTAAAATGATTTTATTTTTTTATATGAAAATAAAAATGAAAATGTCTTCAATCTTAGACAGAAATAATTTTTAAAAATGCATTTGGTAGTTTTATCAAGATATTATTTTCAGTATAAAAAAACCAATTAATGTCTCTATCTCTTTCTCTTTGCATGAAAAACGACTACAAGTCATTTTTCATTTATCTCTCATTTTACACTAAACCAAAAAATTATTTTCATTT